CATAGAAAATGTACTGTTTGTTTTCCAGAACCTGTTCGCCTTTGGACTTTGGAGCTCTAATAGAGATTATAGCTTATAGCTTATTCCTGCAATTGCAAGTAAAGGGAACCATTGAAACAACAACGGAATAAGTTTCAGTTTTTGTTTATTTATTTATTTATTTATTTTATTTTTTATTTATTTATTTATTTATTTATTTTGCTTTTTAAGATAATGATGAATGACATTCTCTGAAGTGTGTTGATAACACAGATTATTAAATACTGTTTTTATTGTAAATGATTAAATTTACAATCAGGGATTAACGTTAAACCTTTTTGATCACCAAGCCCTGTGGCAGTTTTCTAACATTACTAGCCACTTGCCATTTTCACTAGCCACAATTTTGTTGTTGGGAGAATATATTTTATATGCATAAAATTTCACTTTTGCATGAAGAGAAACTGACTTGATTTAAATTTTGTGTAATTTACACATGCCTCCTTATTCGTTTCACTTTTTTTATGTTGTGTATTACCTTCAATGAGCATAAGCAAATGGGTTGTGGCTTCATAGTGTAATTGCAATTAGTTTTTATTGTTTTTATGTTTTTTCAGGGCTCAACATTAAGGATTTACCATTTTTTTTTCTCTAGCCACATTTTTAAAAAAAAATAATAATAAAATAATAAAATAAATAAATAAATTACAACAATAATAATAAAAATAATAATAATAATAATAATAATAATAATAATAATAATAATAACAACAACAACAACAATTTTTAGCCCAAAACAACTGTAAGCAAAAGAAAGCAGGTGAAAAACATACCATGTGTGATAATAATCGCATTAATAAAAAAGATAATCGCATGAAATTTTAAAGCAAAAGCAACAAGCTGTTTAAGTTTCACCGCCAGGCCACTGGTATGACAGTGGCAACGCAGCTTGATTTTGGAAAAATGGTGACTAAATATGTCAGTAGCAACTGTTCAGATTCAAACATACTGTCAAGTATTTTTTTGTAATGCAGCAGTGACCTCCATTTTATTGTAATTTGATTCACCATTGTCACTCATGTAAAGCACTGAATTGAGTGTTTATAGCTCATTATTAATGGGAGAGTTCACACACAAATTAGCATTATCTCAATATTTAATCACCCTCTGCTTGATCCATCATGTAGCTATAACTCATTATTATACAGCATAGATTGTGTTATTTCCTTATACACACATTTACAGAATATGCTTGTTAATAAATAATTATAAGCAAAATTATAATTCATTATGAGCTTGGGCTTCATAGAAAGTGTTACTGTGTTTTATTCTTCTGTTGAACACAAATGGAAGAAGTTTTGAAGAATGCTGGAAAGTACTAAACTGAAAACCCTAATGTTGTCTTTACTCAAGCAAATGCTTGAGATGCGAGATTGTGATCTTTTTACGATTAATTGTGTAGCTCTAATATATATATATATATATATATATATATATATATATATATATATATATATATATATATATATATATATATATATATATATAAGCAACAAGCTGTTTATAAAATAATGAAATGTCTTTCACTTGTTTTGTTGTTTTCAAAAAAAATGCTTTTCTAATGGAACTACCGGGCAGTAGAGGGCGCTGGTCAGACACCTGGAATGTATAATAGGTGAGTGGGTGAACGAAGAAGAGATTCAGTTGTGGTAGAGCAGGCGTGTCAAACTCAATCCCTGGAGGGCCGAAGCCCTGCACAGTTTAGTTCCAACCCTGCTCCAACACACTTACCTGTAGGTTTCAAACAAGCCTGAAGGACTCAATTAGTTTGATCAGGTGTGTTTAATTAGGGTTGGAACTAAACTGTGCAGAACTGTGGCCCTTTTGGAACTGAGTTTGACACCTGTGTGGTAGAGGGAAGCATGAGCTGCGTTCGAAACCACATACTTTCATACTATATAATACGCTAAAATCAGTATGCGAGCTAAGTAGTATGTCCGAATTCATAGAATTCGAAAATCAGTCTGCGAGAAGTACCCGGATGACTTACTACCGGCGAGATTCTGGAGTGCGCATCCCATGCACGCTGCGCTATCCCATAATGCCCCGCGAGATAATACATGAATGGAAGTGTGGCGACGCAACTGACGCAGGTAGGTCACGTGATTATGACAAAATGGCAGATGTAATACGTCCGAACTTCATTCATACTTTTCACAATTATACTGTATAGAACGTACTTTTCTAACGGCCGAGTAGTACGTTTAGATTCAAATGCAGTACCTACTGAGTAGTAGGCTTTTTACGGACGCAGCCATGGTTTCTTGGAGCCTCTTCAAACTGTTTGTATTGTGAAGTTCTAGTTGGGAAACCTTGCGTTTTAAGCTCAGCCTAAGGACTTCCTTTATTGTCCAGATAACTGAATGTTTGGAAAATGTATTGGTATGCTGTCTTAATAAGATTTGACGTTTTGGATACTATCATTACACTATATATATATATACAATATATATATATATATATATATATATATATATATATATATATATATATATATATATATATATATATATATATTTTTTTTTTTTTTTTCTTTTTTCTTTTTTATGCTCAACTTAAGGAAAAGACCATCATCCAACAGCTAAGACATTTTTTTTTTATTTGTTTATTTTTTATTTTGTTGTGTTTTGAGAGAAGTTTCAAAGATGTTGGGGGTTTTTTAACTTTATTTTGAGCACATTATTCTTTAATGCAACATATTTTCCATCTAAGAAATAAAATATATATGCTTGGGGAAAAAAGCTTAAAAAGAGCCTAAAACGCAAGGTTTCCCAACTGGGAGTTCACAATACAAACAGTTTGAAGTAGCTCCAAGAAACCATAGCTGCGTCCCAAATGGCACACTATACACTATGCACTCATGCATTGTGTACTTATGCACTTACACACTCAACAGAATAGTATATGTATGTAGTGTTGTCCCAAATGGCACTCTAATGTTTTTTACTAAGCAGAAATTCAAACCGTTTCCCTAATGACGTTTGACGGTTGCCAAAGAAGAATTAAAATAATTATCAAATAATACCTGCCGTGAGTATAACCCCATTCACCATCTAAAGGCGCTATAATCACTCTCGTAGGAGAATTTTGCTTTGACAATCCAAAATAAAGTGACAATCCAACATGTGCCCCCAATAGCTCCACCCCTTCCGCTACGTAAGCAAACCTGTAGTCGTTTAGTGCAAGAAGTGTTCATCATTCCACACTTCATTTTACCGGCTGAATGGGTGCATCATTCGGGTTAAAGTGCACTTATTATTTTTAGAGTTTTCAGTATGAACACACTACTTACACTATTTATACTACAAAATGGCATAGAATAGTGCATGAGTTTGCGAATTGGGACGAATCTCATGCTTCCCTCTACCACAACTGAATCTCTTCTTCGTTCACCCATTTACCTATTATACATTCCACGTGTCTGACCAGCGCCCTCTAGTAAATGTTGATTAAAGCCAAACTCCATCCTGGACGTCCATTGCCCTGCAGAGCTTCAACTTGTGCTAGACCTTGAATAGCTGGTTCAGGTTTGCTTGTGTAGGGTAGGAACTAAACTCTAAAACAGAGGTGTTCAGTCCTGCTCTGGGGGAAACAGGTTTAGGTCCTACTGTTTAGCTCCTAACGTGCCAACACACACAGTAAGGCTTTGGCAGTTGGTTCAAGTGTTTTTAACTATGGAGCAGAACTCTGTTGAAATCTAGCTCTTCAGGAACAAGTTTATATATGGTCAGAGTTACCTCTAGCATAAATTTTTATCGAGATCAGTCCCATAGCCAGCATGGTAAAAGAGGTAGTTCTTTTTTTTTTTTTTTTCAAAAAGTGGACTTTTCTTGCATTATTTTTTATTTAAATATGAGGTTTAAATATTGCATTTTAGTGTTATTTTAAGAACTATTTTATGAATAAAAACTGTAGTCTATTGTTATTTATTGAGCAAACTAGCCAGCATAACTTTCCTTTTTGTTGGATTTAACCATTTGAATAGTCAAACAATGATAATAATTAATATTTTTCTAGCCTCTCTTCTAAAATAGTATATTTGAAAATGTATAGATGACAACAATAGCCTAATTAGTATTAAAATTACATTTAATCTGCAAGATACTGTATCCTTGCTGCAGCCCGCATCTGGATGATGTAGGCGATCATCAACTAACTAGGCGGACCTTGTACCATCCACCAAGGTAATGCCCATGCTACTGTGACGGTTGGGTTTAGAGTAGGGAGAGGTGTAGGCGATCGTCATCTATGTTCTGGACCCTGTACCACCTTCTAAGGTAGCGCCCATGCTACTGTGACAGTTGGGTTTAGGGTAAGGGGATGTGTAGGTGATCGTCAACTACGAAGCGGACCTGATCAACTAAGTCATCAAGCTGGGGGGCTGCTGTGAGGACTGTCTCCTAATATGGGCCATTTCTGGTGCTTCACACCTTTTTATTGGTCATTTTCTATTATAAGAAAAAGGGCCAGGATTTAGTTCTAAAATGTTTGCGCTATTTAACAACAATAAAGTAGTTAAGCAGCAAAATATGATTTCACCTGCATCAGATTGTATGTTTTCTTTCACAGCTGGATGCTAGACTCATGAAAATAATTGTTTACAATGGCCAAAACTGATTAGCTGAAGTCACACTGAAGCAAAATCCAACAGAGGATTCTGCTTGGTCTTAAAGCCTTTTTCGACAGGTTATTTTCACAATTTATGATGACATAGCAGTCAAAATAAGACAAATGAGCTCATGTATGGGACAAATTCTGGACCATTGTCTGTGAGGGTTGAATCTTTCGAACCAGCCAAACCCCCCTGGTTACTGGCCTAGAGATAGAGAGGCAGTGTAATCGTCTAGGTTTAAGGATGTTAAAACATTAAGATTTTTTTTAATTCAGATGTTTCTAGGTCTTGAGTACGGTGCTCATGTCCTTATTTGTGACACTATTTGTCATCTTTTTTTTCTCTTTAGTGGTTCTTTTGGACACAACTGCTGTACTGGGAGAGCTAAGCTGGAAGACCTACCCAATAAATGGGGTAAGTAATGTTTCCCATTGGATCTTACACCTAATTTGCAGTATGTACAGTGCATAGGATACCACAGCTAAGAAAATGAATTGATGTAAAGCTCCTTTGAATGAATTGTTCATTCTAAGAATATTTATCCCAGGTCAATCCAACCCACACAAACTGACATGGAAAAAAAATAACAAGTTAGTTATAATGAAATGCATTTAAAGCAGGTCACTGAGACGACACTAGTGATCCAGAATGTATGCAGAGAGTTTCTTAAAGGGTAATTATTAACACAGGTCTTAATAATTCAATTTCACCTTCTTTCATTCCTGTGAACACCATCGAGAGAATTTCCAAGACATTAAAACCAGCCAAAAGGCTAGAAGCTATTTGAATGAAGCAACCAAGTGTGATCTCACAGCCCAGAAGAGCTTCTAATAGAAGAGCTGCTATTATTAAATCAATTCCATGAAAGAGAACGGCGTGGAGTATGCTCGATCACTGCCCTTTTTCTAAAGCTGACTATAAATACCTGTCCTGGGGCCTCATGTATTAAAGTTTACATAGATTTCATCCCCTGGAAAAATAGATACTGACTGGATATAATACTAAATGGGTATCACTGATAACATCTGTGTCTGGAAGAGTTTGTACAGTATGTACCCCTACATGTAAACTTTAACCGTAATTAAATTTGACCCTTTTTGATGGTTAAGATAACATGTGATCATATAGCCCGCTTAGGGCTGGGTCGATGGATGATGCCATCATCCATCGCCGATGAACGATAAACATCATTATGCTGAACCAGCATCGCAATTCTCCTCCCCGCCTCCATTGACCATTTTTTACCAACCAAGTTTGTCGATGCCATAATAACGACCCAGATCACTCTGCCTATTCATGCCTGAGTACTTCAGAAAAAGCGATTGACAGGTGGTAATTTTTGTGCAACTTATCTTAATTTATTTATGACATGGTTATTGGTTAAACCAAGACCGTGTGGGTCAGGTAGTTGAAACGGTAGGCTACAAATAATTAGTTAGTTCTGAATTAATTAATCATTCGCAAATAATTAATTTCCTGCCATTTTTGACAATGATGCCATCGTCTATCTCAGTGTTTCACATTGGACATTGTACGATGCCAAATTGGACGACATCGCCCAACCCTATTCCCCCTATGGCTGGGACTGAGCCAGAGAAAGATGTGCTATGAATCACAATTTATCAGTGTTGTCAAACAAATAGCATTTTTTTTAGGTTTCAAACTTTTAAATACACATTACTAGCACAACGTAACATTGATAGTTTGTAAAATTCATGTTGACGTTCAGAGTTGGTTGAAACACGTTCCACTGTAATCCACTGAATTCTAAGTACATTTTTACATTTTTTTTAATGCAACGAATTACATTTTAAATTTGTATAATTTGATTTCAACTACTAAAGTCAATGTAATTGCATTACTTACGTTAAAAATATAGTTTTTAAAAGAAAAAATTATTCTTTTAAATAAACATTTTCCTCTGTAATGTCAGTTAATAAGCATGCACTTTTAAATTGCTGGAGAACGCTAGCTGAAATAGCTGCTGACGAGAGTGGTTGCTTCTTCAAGTGGAAATACAGACATTATTTTCATTTCATTGAGCGTAAAAAATAACTAAATATTGCTGTGAAACGCAGTCTATGAACATTTGACTGCTTTTAACCGGGACCAGCAACTTGTTCAAGCACTTAAATAGAAAGCATTCTATGACAAACCTTATCACCAAAGAGGACACGAGCGCCCACAAACACATAGGTTCAACTCAGCCTAAGCAGGCTTAATTTATTTTTTGTGCAGGATCCTGAGTGACTGAATTTTCTGTATGTGAAGAGAAGTTTAGCTGCTTATGAGGCCGTTCACATTTTGCGCTTTTGTATGCGCATGTTCTTTATTTCACACAACAAAAACTGCGATCAACGTCATGCTTTGTATAGAATACTATATACACATTTTAGTAGACTATTTACCTCAGACAAATACAGAACACTTAAACACTGCAGTGCTTTTGCATACTATGGATGTAAATGATTACAGTTTTGATCCAGTTTTCTTCCTGTCTTCTTTTGTGTTAAAAAAGGCAAACAAGTTTGGAACAAGTGAATGATGAGAGAATTGTAAGTTTTGGACTTTGGTAAAGAACTCTTTAAGTCTTTTGAATATGTCAAGCTGCTGTGGTCGACCCATTGTAATGTTTACCTGAAAGAGCTACAGCTTATTTTGTATTTTTTTAAAGGTATATTTTATATGTTTTAAAAGTAACTTCAAAGTAAAGCAATTAGTAATCTGATTACTTTTTACGTGAAGTATTTAGTAATGTAATCCGATTACAATTTTCCAGTAGTAGTCAGTAATTTGTAATCTGTTACTTTTTAAAAGTAACTTACCCAACACTGTTAATGTCTATGGAGACTTTAATATTAATTAATTTTAAACATAACTAGACAGTTATTCACCACAGATACACACTGTTTAGGTTACTGAAACATTTACTCTATTCTTTACTCCCAATTAAACAGCCACTTTCATGTATTTTGGGAAAAGTTAGGTCATGTAAGTATTGTATTGTCAAGTATGCTTACTTATAGTCGAAATTGGTCCTGTTTTTGACCCATTCAGGTGCAAACGCACACACCCACACACCCACATACACACACACACACACACACACACACACACACACACACACACACACACACACACACACACACACGCACACACACACACACACACACACACACACATACAAGTGAGAACTAAGAGAACACACATGCACACTTACACATGGAGTATCTATTGCTTCCAGAGTCCAGCTGAATATCGAAAATGCAACATTTTGTATACAAGTGGAACTACCTAAGCATTAGGTCACAACTGACCCTAATTAATTATTCAATTAATTCAGTGAATTATTTAAAATTATGCATAAATCACCTGGGCTCATGCAGAGGAACTTACATGTAGAAGGTTAAAAGTTAATTTCCTTGGCATGGGTAATCGCAGCTGAGATGATATACAGCCAAATTGGACTGATACTCATTTGGTAATGCATTTATACAACAGTTCAGTTACTTCTTAATACATCCATGAATTCCCAAACTAAGCCCATAAATGCTGAAGCAAAGCAAAAGTTACAGTATGTGCATTTTGTAAGAAAGAGAAGCAGATTTAGGCAGTGCTTAGTACCTTCATTTCTGTATTCATGTTTTACAGTCAAGGTGCTGTATGTATGTTTTTGACCCTTAAAGCATAAAAATACCATAATTTGTTTGTAGATATTTAAGAAACATGCCAACTGAACACTCTTGTTTATTTGAAAAAACAATGCTGAAGACAGATAATTTGCTTTGAAAATGTGAGTTAGGTGTCGGAACGTCTGTCTTTGTTAAGTTTTTTTTAACCCACCTTATGCCACTTTAGTCAATTATATTTCAGCACCCCGGGTTGTCTTGGTGGAAAACCGTGCATTTCATTAATGAATTCAAAAAGACTATGAAAACATCCGTGACCAAAATGTGACCTCCGGTGGACTGTAGCAGACTCGGAAATGAGATGCAGATTTGTTACACTTGAGCAAATAATATAAATATTATAAGCGTAAACATTAGGTAAGCAAGTTGCATTGTAACCCTGTGTCCTAACAGCACGCTGTGATGAGATTTGAAGTGATAAGCAAATTGGCTGTTTGCAATAGACGAAACACAACAGAAATTTAAATACAGCCATTCAGAAGACCAGAATACGCACTCACCAATAATCAAATTAATACTTATAAAAACTCTTTAAGATTATTAAACGTACATACTGAATGAATGTGTTGGCTTTGAATCACAGTTCAATTCCAGTTCAATTTCAAATGGTTTATTATATTTTCAAGATCTGAGGTAAGCTATTTGCTGCTGTTTTCAGTAATATGGTGACAAATGTCATAGCAAATAGCATTCAAAATCGCATTGCTAGCATATAACCCTGAATAAAGAACATAAGATGTACCTGAGGGAATTATTGTCAGTTTTCTGTTGTTCAGCTGCAAGAAACAGAATCGGTTTCTAAAATATAAATTTGAGGTGCTGGTTAGAACAAAAATTATTTTAATACGGAGAATATTCCTTCTATCGCTTGCCGTTGCATATATATAGAACATGATTTAAATCAACCTTTAAGCTCGATCGTCAGACTTGCTCCTGTTTGTCAATCTGTCAGCCTGTGCTTCTATTTGTTTTGAATCAGTACTGTAATACCTCTGTTTGCCTTGCTTAGCAACATATATAATGTAAATACTTACCCCCCTTGACCCAATCAAGTCTTCAGTATACTTCACTTATTTACTGTTGGTTACTTCTGTAGGGTATCAATACTAGAGTCAGCTGCTCTAAAAACTTTGCATTTGTGATTTTTCATTGCTTTGATAAGATAAGATAAGATAAGATAAGATAAGATAAGATATAAATGCTCAGATAAATCACATAAATCATCCTCAGTTAAGTATCATCCTAAAATAGTAAGCAATATTTATCTTTCAAAATAAAAGTCAAGAACTGACTCATATGATTTATTTGATTGTGGAACTGTCAAACATCTCGACAAACAGAAACCGGAAACAATATTTCATACGTCACAAACACATCAACACTTTACAAGCAGAAAAGTAATATAGGTGAACAAAATTGGCCATAGTGTATGAGTGCATTTAAATGCAAGAGTGTATCTGTTTTCCAGTAATGGGTTGCATCTGGAAGGACATACCACTGCACCACCGTGAAGTCATGTTATTGACATATAGTGATTGTGATTTCATGTATTTTGAGCATTAACTCCATTAATAAGAGTGAGACAATTCATTAACTTGTATTAAAAAGAAAATGTTAAAGGGATAGTTGACACAAAAATTAATAGTCATACAGTTACTTACTCTTATGTCATTCCAAACTCCAAAGACCTACATTCATCTTCAGAACACAAATTAAAATATTTTC